ACAGAGATCCACCTGCCTCTGCCTCCAGAGTGCTGGGATTAAAGGCATGTTGCCACCACACCTGTCTCAACAGATATATATTTTTTATCTGCCTCTGCCTCCAGAGTGCTGGGATTAAAGGCATGTGCCACCACACCTGTCTCAACAGATATATTTTTTTTAATTTTTATTCTTTATTTTTATATGTATGAGTACTTGGCCTGCATGTATGTGAGTTTATCCATGTGTGTAATGCCCACAGAGGCCAGAAGTGGGCATCTGATCCTGTGGAACTGGATGATTGTTAGCCACTATGTGGGTGCTGGGAACTGAACCCTGGTCCTTTTCAGGAGTCACCAGTGTTCTTAACTGCACCATGTCTTCATCTCACTTAAAAACACTTTATTATAACTGGCTGGCATTATGCTAAAGGTGGGAGAGATGGATGCATAAAGAAAGTAGTACTCTAGGCTAGTCATCCAAGAGTAGCATAGATATAAACAGATTTGTGGAAAGTGCTCTGAAAAAGGGTCCATGTTGCTTATATAAGAAGTCTGTGGTTCTGTAAGCAGTATATGGTACTATGCATTTAACATTTTCACACCAAGTAAAATATCCCCTGTGGGAATGATTGAGCTGAGTCCACAAAGATGATGGTGAGGTTGGAGAGTATGCCCATACCTCGGCCCCAGATAAGAGGCTCACAGAATTCCAAATAACAGGTCCGGAAAAGAACTCCCCATACCATATAATAGTTAAAACACTAAATAATGCAGAACAAATGAAGTGTATTGAAAGCTGCAAGAGAGAAGGGCCAAGTCACATATAAAGGCCCTTCAGAATAATGGCTGACTTTGTAATGGAAACCTGAAGAGCCAAAAACATTTGGAAAGATGCATTTCAAATTCTGAAATTCACAACTACCAACCAAATCTAATATATCCAGCAAAACTATAATTGAAGGAAAAAGATAAACTTTACAAGATAAAAGAAAGCTAAACAAATTTGTGATTTCCATGCTAACCCTACAGAGGATAGTGGGAGAAATACTTCAGAATGAAGAGAAAGAAATACACCCAAGAGGACAGTGGGAAAAAATAAACCTGGCTAAGACAGTTGATAAACAAAACAGGACTAGGAAACCACCAGAATACCCTACAAAACCAACAAAGTGATGGGAATCAATACATATCTTTCAATGATAACTGAGTATTAATGGTCCCAATTCTCCTATCAAAAGACAGAAACTAACAGATTAGATTGGAAAACAGGATCCTTCCTTATACTCTCTCTAAGAACCATGCATTGCAGCAAAGACAGACACCAGGTAAAAGGATGGAAAAAAGGTCTTTCATGCAAATGGGACCCAAAACCACATATATGTCACATTTCTAAATCTAACAAAATGGGCTTCAAATCAAATATAGTCAGGAGAGATAAAGGGTCATTACTTGATTGGTAGATCAAGGGAACAACCCTTCAAGAGGAAATTATAATTCTAAATATATACACACCAGACAGAGGGCTCACCCAATTTCATAAAACAAATACTAGTAGATCTAAAGACACAGATTAATACCAACACAATTATAGTTGGTGACTTCGGTAACCCATTCTCACCATTATTCCACCCCAAGCTACAGAATACACATTCTTCTCAGAAGCCAATGAAACTTTCTCTAAAGCAGATAGCATATTAAGGCATAAAAACAACTCTCAAAAATAGAAGAAAATTGAAATAATTCCTGTATTCTATCTGATCACAGTGGAATACTACAATCAATAAAAAAGAAGTCACAGAAAATAAAACAAACTTATGGAGATCAAACAATGGTACTGAACAATGAATGAGCCATTGAAGAAATCAAGAAGGAAATAAATTCCTAGAATTGAATTGAATGAAAATGAAAACACAATATACCCAACCTGCGAGATACAACGAAAGTAAGTGGGAAGTTTGTGGTTCGAAATGCCTACATTAAAAATCAGAGAGGGGGTTGGAGAGATGGCTCAGTTGTTAAGGTTTCTGTTCTTGCAGAGGACCTGAGTCTGGTTCCCAGGACCCACATGGCAGTGCACAACCATCTGGAACTCCAGTTCCAGAGGCTCCATAGCACCTGAAGGTACTTGTACACATATAAGCGCACACATATGTACATGCAGGCAATACACTCATGCACATAAAATAAAAATAAATAACTAAAAAAAATCAGAGAGACCTCAAATAAACAATGTAAATGATGTGCCTTACGCCATTGAAAAAGCAAGAACAAACTAAATCCCAAATCAATAGCTGGGGGAGAAATAAGTAAACTCGGGGCAGAAATTAATGAACTAGAAATGACAAAAAGAAACAATAAAAACTGAAAATAAAGAGGTGGTTCTTTGAAAAGATAAATAAGATTGACAAATCCTTAGTTAAATTAACCAAAAGATAGAAGCCCCAAATTAATAATACTAGAACAGATGCCAATGAAATCCAGAAAAACCTAAGGACATCAGTTAAAATTTCTGCTAAACCAGAAAGTCTAAAAGAAATGGACACATTTCTAGTTGTGTATGACTGACCCGTGAAAGTCAAACTATGGTGGAGTAAGTGATTCCTTCAGATCTATAACAAGCAATGAGATCAAAGTATTATTTAAAAATCTCCCAACTAGCTGGGCATGGTGGCACATGCCTGTAGTCCCAGCACTTGGGAGGCAGAGGCAGGCAGATCTCTGTGAGTTCAAGACCAGCCTGGTCTACATAGTGAGTTCCAGGCCAGCTGGGGCTACAGGGAGACCTTGTTTCAAGAAGAGAAAATTAATTAATTAATTAATTAATTAATTAATTAATTAATTTTAAAAAAGGATGGAAGTTTGGGTCCAGATGAATTTAGGGAAGAATTCCACCAGAACTTTAAAGAAGAATTAACATCAGTACTCCTTTGATTATTCCATAAAACAGAGAAGAAAGGCGCACTCCCAAACTCTTTTAACAAATCTAGTACCATCCTGATTCCAAAGCTTGACAAAGACACAACAACAACAACAAAAAAGAAAATTCCAGATCAATCTCCCTGATGAACATAGACATAAAAATTCTCAATAAAATACTTACAAGCAAATTAAAAAAACAAATTAAAAAAGATCATTCACCATAATCAAGTTGGCTTCATTCCAGATATACAGGGATGGTTCAACATGCATAAATCATGTAAATGGCCCCAGGACAAAAATCACATGATCATCCCAATAGATATAGAAAGAGCCTTTTGGCAGAATTTAACATCCTTTGATCATAAAAGCCTTGAAGAGACAAGGATGGAGGAACCCACCTCAACCTAATAAAGCCTATATATACCAAACCTATAGACATATCATGCCAAATGGAGAAAAGCTCAAAGAATTCTCATTAACATCAGGAACAAGACAAGGGTACCCACTCTCTCAACTCATATTCAATATAGTGCTATAGGTCTTAGAGCAATAAGACAAGGGAAGAAAATAAAGGGCATCTGAGTAGGAAAAGAATTCAAAGTGCTTCTAGTTGCAGATGACACAATTCTCTACTTGAGACCCTAAAGACTTCACCAGGAGACTCCTGGGGCTGAAGGACACACTCAGCAATATGACAGGATACAAAATTAATGTCAGTAGCCTTTCTATATACTAATGACAACCACACCAAGAAAAGTCAGACAAACCACTATTCACAACAGTGTTAAAAAATATCTTGGAAACAAAGAACTAAAAACACTGAAGAAATTGAGGAATACACTAGTCGTTGGAAACACCCACTCATGCTCGTGGACTGGTACAATTATTTGATAATATTGTGAAAAAGGCCATCCTACCGAAATTCAATGCAATCCCAACCAAAATGCCAGTTCAACTCTTCACAGAAATAGAAAAAAAACAATTAAAAATTCATATGGAAGCACAAAAGATCTCAAGATTGCACGAAGCAATCTTGAACCATAAGACACTGCTGGAGGTATCACCACACCTGGTATAAAGTTATATTATAGTGACATCACAATCAAAATAGCAAATACTGGCACAAAAGTGGACACACAGCAGAATAGAATACAGGATCCAGATATAAGTAAGTCCATGCAACTGCAGCTACCTGAATTTTGACCAAAATCTGGAAAACACACATTAGCAAAAAGACAAACTTTAACAAATGGTGCTGGGAAGACTGGATATGTTCATGTAGAAGAATGCAACTTGATCCTTCTCTCTCCCCCTGCACAAAATTCAATGCCAAATGAATCAATGTTAGACACAAAAAAGCTACTAGAGGTAAAGTGGGGCATACACTTAAAGATACAGGCATAGGTAAGGACTTTCTGAATACAGTCCAGGCCAATAACCAACAAATGAGGCCGCATGAAATTAAAAGGCTTCTGTACTACAAAAGAAATCGTTAATCAAGTGAAGCGGCAGCCTATAGACTGGAAGAAAGTCTTTGCGAGCTTCTGTGCTTCCCAGAAGGTTAGTGTAGATTAGATCTACAGAAGATTAGAGTCTAGAGTGTTCAAAGAGTTTAAAAAACTAATATCCAGAAAATAAACAATCAATTAAAAACAGTCTATGGATGCAAAAGATTCCATATTCTCGTACAGAAATATTTACACATCCATGTTCATTGTGACTCTATTTACAATAGTGAAAAAAATGGAATCAGCCTAGCTGTCCATCAGTGGATCAATGGATAAATAGATAATGATAATGTGGTACACACACAATGGAATCTTTATCAGGGGTAAAGAATGAAATGATGTAATTTTCAGGAAGATAGAGAGATCTGGAATATATTATAATGAGTGAAGTAAACCAGACCCAGAAAGACAATGTCACATCTTCTCCCTTATGTATAATACCTATCTACAACGTTTATGTTTAACTTTGAGTTCTAATAAAGCCCAGAAAGATAGAAAGAGGCTATTGTGGTGCGGGGAGGCCTTAAGGCAAGGAGGATAGTGGAGCACGTTGGACATGAAAGTGGAAACGGGGGGGAACCCTGGGGATGGAAAAGTCTAAGCTGGAAGTGGGAAGGACAGAAAAAGAGGGAAGAGAAGGGAGACGGTAATAACCAAAACCAAGAATATATTAAAAGGCCATATGGGAACCTAGCTTATAAGCTATACGAAAATATAATCTAAAAAACCAATTTGAACAACGATATCCTCTATGGATGGATAATGTTTGTCTTAGAAACCGCAGGTGAGTAAACAAAGGTCCTAGCGTCAGACATGGGGTACCTCCCTACAAGTTGCTGGTCAAGGAGGCTCCAGAGAGCTCCAATACAATAAGGCTATTTCCATTGCTCTTAGTTGCCCACCAGAACTTGATGGTGAGATCCTATTGCTGAAGACACCACAAACTTTGGTCTCAGGATAGAGAGAAATTAAGCTAGAGCTGAGCTAGACACTTTATCTCTACTGGCTAGCTTTCAAGGTGCCAGAAGGTGCTCTGTAGCCTGCTGTGGGAGAAAAATCATCAGTAGTCTTAACTAGCTGTGAATCCTGCAGTATACAATGATGACCAGCCAGGCATGATGTACCATCTAGTGGCATGGCTGGTATGGTGGTAATCAGTCACTTCTGTTTGGATTTGAGACTTACTCCTCAAGAACAGACTCATGTCTTGTTCTGTACACATAGTCAAGAACTTGTGGTTAGGGAAATCCTAGGCCCTAGAGTGGAACCTACTACTATTGTGTGATGGCTAATCCTGGTCATCAACTTGACTGGATCTGGGATTAACTGAAATGAAAGAGATCTTCTTGATTGGATCATCTGAAGCTGGAAACACACCCTAAATGTGGGTGTTACCTTCTGATGGCAGCCGTATAAAAGACCAAGGCAGAGGAGAACACTAGGCTTCTTGCTGCTTGCCTTCTCTCTCGCTCTTGCTGCTGTAGACTGAAGACTAGCTGATCTTTTGGAATTTGTCAGACCTTCAGTGCCAGATTGGGACTACTGAGACATCCAGCCTCGTGGACTGAGCGACTATGGATTCTCAGCCTCCCCAGTGTGGTGCAGCCAATGATGGACTACTCGGACTCTATCCTGTGAGCTAAGCTGATATATCCCTATACATATATATTCATTCTACCAGTTCTGTTTCTTTGGAGAACACTGACTAATACATACTGTTTTGCTAAGTGATATGTTCTCGAACTGCCTTCTGGATATTTGCACTTATACCCATAGATTAGAGCTGCTCCCAGTCTTATTAGATTTCTTTCTTAATGCAGATGGTGATAATTAATGCAGAAGCCCAAAACAAAGTGCTGGGAATAAGTAACAGTGGAGTAGTTACTTATTCATTACTTAGCTCATTTAGCCCCTAAATGAGACAGCTGTATTATTCTCTACAGGCTTAGGGAACATTGTGGAAGAAGGGGCAGAAAGACTGTAAGAGCCAGGGCATAGGGAGATATACAACAAAAGGACATCTTCTGGACATGGCATAGCCATTGCATTCATAAACTTATTGCAGCCGTGATTGTCTTCACGTGATCTGTGTAAGCTTGGGCCCATCAACATTTCATCAAGTATTGGGAGGGGCCCATGGGGCTCCACCTCTCCCTGAGGCACTACTGGCCAGTTGTTGGGAAGGAGTGCTATTTTCTTCAGTGGTGTAGCCAGTGATAGTTGCTCTCGCTGTCATTAAAAACAGAACAAAACAAAAAAACCTTCCACTAATGGTCAGGCAAGAAACTCCAGGTAAACTAAGTGGGTCCCACACAGAAATAAGACTTGAAAGTAGGAGGGGGACTTGTTGGGAAGAAAATCTCAGGGGGAGAGGGAGAAGGAGAGAGGGAAAAATGGGGGGGGGTGAAGATGATTAAAGTTCATTATGTAAATGTATGAAACTGTCAAACAATGAAAAGAAAAATAAGAAGAATCACTTGACAGAGTCCTAGAGAGGAGAGCATTACTGTGCAGCGAGGAAGGGAACCCGCAAACACTTTGTGGCTGGTGATTGTAGAAGCAGAAAGAGGGTCTGCAGCAGGCATCTCAAGGAGGAAGACAACACAGTGTGAAGTGGGATCACACAAACATGCTGGGGCAGGCCATTCAAGGCCTTTAGGCCTTGTTGATATTGATATTGATATTGAAAGTGCTGGGAAGCTGGGAAGGTTTTTAAAATAAAAATACAGCATCACTAATAAACTTGTACCATGATGAAATCAAAAAGGAAGCAATTTCACTTTTCAGTTGCTTTTTGGCACAAGAACACCATTCTCTACTCTGAGTGATTTATTAGCACGTTCCTTGGGACCACTTCTTACTTAGCCTATGATCTCTCTACCCAGTATCCAAATAGAAAGCTCTGATCAGTACTAGCCACAAAAGCACTCTGCAATTCCCACCAGCGGTTTCCTGCACTTACCACTATCCGAAGTGAATGAGCTAGAGAAGTCCCATTTTTGTCTGTGGAGAAAGATATGAAGACCATTAACCTGTTGCACTCCCAAAGTCTCATATTCATCTTATTCAAAGGCCAGAATGCACTTACGCATCTTCCCTGGGGCATGCCACATCATCATAGGTCTCCTCTGAGAAGGAGTTTGACGTGATGGCACCTGGATTTGGGGTTTCTTTAGTCACCTCCAAAGCCTCCATATATCCACCTGCAAGGAAAATAGGAACCCCCTGAGACCATGTCATCAGGTGTCAGGAACACATTTATGCAAACAACTCGCCATGGAGCAGGTGCAGGAAGAGGCGGATCAAGATGCTAAAGCTGGGATGTTGTCCTGCACTGTTATGATTTGAGCACAAAATGTCCCCCAATGCTTCGTCTTAAACTGGAGATGCTATTTTGGGAGGCTCTGGAACTTTAGGAAGCAGAACCTGGGTAGTCTGTTGGGAGTCTTTTGAAGGTTACACCAGACTCCCAGTCCCTTTTTTCCTTTCTGCTTCCTTCCTTCCTTCCTTCCTTCCTTCCTTCCTTCCTTCCTTCCCTCCTGTCCCCTCCTCTTCAGGCTCCCACCCTCATGACGTTCTGCCTCACCACTGGCCTAGAATGAACAGAGCCAAAGACTATGGACAGAAACCTCTACAACCATGAGCCTTATGTTGTTTCTGTCAGGTGTTTAGTCACAGTGCCAATGAAACTGACAACTCAGCATGCACGATACTTGGATAAGCCACTTCATCTTACAGAACTCATTTATGACATTCTGAAGCTGGAGTTAACAATAACAGCACTTCCTATGTGATCATGCAAGGCTCAAGTGCGTATTTATAATGAGTGCTAGTTCCTTCATAAACTAAGAACTCCTCCCTTCTTGGATGATTCTTTAATTTCTGACCTCATGTGTCAAAATTCTCTGGCCCCAGGGATTTTCTGTGCCACCTAAATAGACTTTTCTAGCCTTTTGGCAGTTTTTTCTTAAAGTCTCTCAGGTAAGTTAATTGAATACATGTCAACATGTATCATTAATGATCGAATGAAACAGCAGGTCATGCACCAGTCTAAAACCTGTACTGACATTGTTTGCACAGGTGTCAGCCCAATAAATGCAGGAGCTAGCCTGTTTCTCAGAGCTGTAAACTTGCCATGACCATAAAGCTGTCACCTCTTTATCAGTTGGCATAGGTTCATTTTTAGGCTATGAGTGATTCAGAACTATTTTCAGATATGAGCTACTTATCATAAGAAATATATCTAAAAATATGCAATAAGCAAAGTGACTTGTATCTCTTAATAAAATGGACTAAATGAAAAGATTTTATCCTCTTACAAGAAGCATATGACCCCAAACTATCTCAAAGAATGTCAGTTCCCAGAAGAAAAGGGCTTGCTTTTTCTTAAGGAGTTATCAGAATATTCCTCTAGCGAAAATAAAGATGCTAAGCACATAGTTGGGGTGTTACTAATCTTAAGATTTCTCTTAAAAATTTGACATCCTTAAAGTCTGCCCCATCTCAATAAAAAATGTCAGTTACATCATTTGTTGCTCAGGTCCCAAATGCTGGAGTCATCCTTGATTCTTCTTTCTCATATCTCACATCCAGTCAATACTGAACTGTCATCTCTAACTTCAGATTACACCCTAAACCCAAACACATCTCTATAAATCAATCACAGAACCTGTCACTGAGCTACTGCCAGCTCTAGCTGAATCACCACAGTGACTCACAGTTTCCCTGACTCTGCCTGTATTCTATTCTCAGCCTAGTTATTCTTTCAAAATGCAAGCCCAATAACACTTTTATTTGTTACTGTTGTTGATGAGACAGGGCCGGCCTTCCTTTGCCTTCCAAGTGCTGGGATTAAAGGCGTGCGCCACTACACCCCACAGATCATGTCTTTTTTGTGTGCTTGAAGCTTTCAATAGTTTAAGAAATGTTATTCTAAGTTAACGCCCAAGTCTTTGCATGGCGTTTCCAAAAGCCCGTGGCGCTCCCTCTGCCTTACTTCCCACGACGCTCCTCTCTGCATCTCCTCTGCCGCACGCACGTCCTTGCTCCTTCACCAACACCTCTGGCTGGCTCCTGCCGAAGGGGATTTGCCCTTTATTTTCCTTCTCCCTGGAATATTCTTACATCAAATATACAATATGCCTCCAGTGTACTTTTCTTGTCGCTGTGACAAAGCACCAGATAAAAGCAAGATGAAAAAAGGTGGGTTCGTTTTGACTTCCAGTCCATCACGGCAAGGAAGAGCCTAAAGTGGCTGGCCACATGACACCAGAGAGCAGAGCGCGATGAACCGGTACCGAGCTTGCTTTCTCCTTTTTCTATTCTTATTCAGTCCATAACCCTAGCACACGGGATGGTACGACACACATCCAGGGTAAGTCTTCTCTCCCCAGTTCAACCTCTCTGGAAACTGTCTCATACTTGCCCGGAGATGTGTCTCCAAGATGATTACCGATCCACGCAAGCTGACAAGATTAACCAGTATTGGTTCATCTTCTTTATCTACTTTAGGTCTTTGAGGTCATCGACAAACACTTACAAAGGTTGTAACTTTCACAGCCTCCTTAACTCTCTTCCCTTGCTTTATTTTGTTCATGTCATTTACCTCCACGCTACATAGAAAGAGTACTGGTGTTCATAATATTATCTGTCTCCTTTGATCAGAAAGTAACCCTGGTGGGAACAGGAACCTTTTATTGCCACATACTAATTGTATAAAAACGACGGGTTTATTTGTAACATTTTTATACATTCATGTTGTGTGCTTTGATCATTTTCCCCCCATCAATTACCTTGTCTTACCTGCCTTCCCCCCAACTCACCTGCCCCTCATCTTCTTCATCAACATCTTTTACTTTTTCGTCATATTGTTTCCCCCTGGTTTTCACATTAGAGAAAATATGTGATACTTGTCATTCTGAGTTCTTCTTTCTCAGACTCTCTCCAGTTTCATCTATTTTCCTGCAAATGGCTTCATTCTTCCTATGTGTGTACACGCATGCACATGTGTGTTCGTGTTACGGGTGCATGTAAACATGTATGCATGTGAGTGTGGAGGCCAGTGATCAACCTTGGGTGTTGTTCCTCAGGCTTTGTCTTTCTTGTTTTTTGAGATAGGGTCTCTTAGTGGCCTGGAACTCACCAAGCAGTTAACCTTGCTGGAAGCGAGCCCCAGGCATCTGCCTACCTCTGCCTTCCCAGAGCTGGGATACAAGTACATACCACCATGCCTGTCTTTTTCATACATAGGTTCTGATGACCAAATTCAAGTTCTCATGCTTAGGCAGCAAGCACTTTACCAACTGAGCCATTTCCCCTGCCCCATCATCCTTCTTTATAGCTGAGTAAAATTCCCACGTGTGCCCCACTTTCTTCATCCATTCGTGTGTTGCAGGTGCCTACGCTGATCCATAACTTGGCTACTGTGACTAGTGATAAACATGTCTGTGCAGGTATGAGAGTTGTACTCTGCCTTAGACTGCCTTCTGCATATACCCATGAATGGTACAGCTGGGTCATGTGGTAGCTCTATTTTTAAAAATACTGCCATGCTCATTTCCATAGCCTCTGCTCTAATTCACAGCCCCACTAGAAGTGTATAATGGCTCCCCCATATCCATCTTCCTTATAATTTGCTTTGTTTCCTTGTGATAGCCATTTTGATTCTATTAAATGGAATCTGTCTAGTTTTGACTTGCATTTCTCTGATGGCTAAAGATGTTGAATATTTTTCATGTAACTATTTATACTTCTTTTGAGAAGTGTATATTCAGCTCATTTGTCCATTTCTTGATTGGATTACTTAACATTCAGTGTTAGCGTTTATATATTCTGGGTATTAATTCCATTTTAAATATATAGCTGGCAAAGATTTCCCTCATTCTGTAGGCTGTCTGCAAATTCTGCTGTTTCTTTTCTGTGCAGAAGCTTTTTGGCTGCGTAGGCTCTCCTTTGTCAATCCCTGCTGTTATTTTGTGGGCTCCTGGAGTCCTACTCAGAAAGTTGTTGCTTTTGCCTGTATCTTGAAGGATTTCCCGTTTCTTTCTAGTGATTTTAGAGTGTTAGGTGTTACACTAAGGTCTCTGATCCCCTTCCAGTTGATTTTCCCTTTTCAGTTGATTTTTTGTGCTGAGTGAAAGATAAGGATCATCAGTCTTTTACATGTGAACAATAGGAGAATTTTGGGCTGTTTTATTTATTACACATTCTCATGCCTAGAAGAGTGCTGGGCATGTAAAAGGTACTCAAATACTTTTTAGAGTTTGAATGTGTCTTCCAACTAGAAGTTTAGTACATTACATATACAGTGTTATCTAAATATTTACATTTACTATCTTATCACACATTTTAAAAATTTCCCTGCTTTTTTCTTTTCCTTTTGATTGATTAAAATTACTTTTCTTTATTATACTTTAAAATCTTTTGATTTTTAAAAAGAAATAATACATGTTATGTTTGTTTGTGTTTAACAGTTACCTACCCCATTTTTAAAATATTTTGTTTATTACTTTTATTTTATCTGTATGAGTGTATTGCTTGCATGTAGGTAGGTGCACCAATGTCATGCAATGCCCACAGAAGTCAGAAGAGGGTGCTGGATACCCTAGAACTGGAGTTACAGACAGTTGTTAGCTGTCATGTGTGTGCTGGGAATCGAACCCAGGTCCTCTGTAAGAGCTGCCAGTGCTCTTAACCATTGAGCCATCTTTCCAGTCCAACAGTTACCTACTCTGTTTTAAAACCTTTTTATATTTTTAAAAATTTTCCTGCAGTGCTGTGGATCAAGTACTCTATTACTGAACTACATCCCCAGTCCTGTTTTTTTTAATTGTTTATGATTTTTTAAAAATGTGTATGCCTGCATCTATATAAGTGCAGTATGTGCATGCAATGCCCCTGGAGACCAGAAGAGGGTATCAGATCCATTGAAACTGGAGTTACAGATAGTTGTTAGCCTCCATGTGAGTGCTAGGAACCAAACTTGGGTCTTCTGCGAAAGCAGCCAGTGTTCTTAACAACTGAGCCATCTCTCCAGCAGCCTACTGTTTTAAAGTCTAATGTCTAAGTTCTAAGGTCTAAGGTCTAGTCTAAGGTCTAATATCTAAGTCTAAGGTCTAAGGTCCAATTTCTGTTTTAAGATCTAATGACAGCATAAGACACAGGAGAAGGCATAGTTCATGAAAGTACAAACCAAAGAACTTTCCCACGTCCACATACATGGATGTAGAGCCAGCACCACCAGTGCTGCAGGGTGCCTCTCTTCTGTCTCCCCATCACCCCCACCTCCGGGTAGCTGCTGTCCTGACTTCCAGTGCACAAGGCACATTCTGCTTATTTTACCTTTATAGTAATGCAGTTTCCGTTTGTAGTTTTGGTGTTGCACATTTTCATTCTGTATTATGTTGAGAGATTCATCCAAGTTGTTGCAAATAGCTGTAACGTGTCTGTCTTTATGACTAAATTTTCTCGTCTATTGTGTGTACACACTATAATGTATTTATCCATTCTACTTTTTGTCGTTGCATTTTTTTTTCACCTAAGACAGTCCTCACTCTGTAGTTAAGGCTGCCTCGAATCCCTCCTCTTCCTACCTCAGCCACCTACATGCTGGAGTTACAGGACTCTACCACACCCAGCTCCCTCTGTTCTATTGCTCATTTGGAAACTTTCTAGTCTGGGACTATAAGATGTTCTTCCATGAGTGTCTTATATACTTTTAGTGAATTGAAGTATGCATTTCTGCTAGATATACACAAAACATGGAATGCTTGGGTTACAGATTTAAATATTTCAAAAAATTTTCAAGATAAATGTCCCAGTCCATATCTTCACCAAAACTGAACATTTTTAGTCTTTTCTCTTGTAGATATTTGATGGGCAAATAGGTTTCATTTACAATTCACTGAGAGTTAATAAAGATGGGTTTTCACAGCATATTTGCCTTTCAAATATCCTCTTTCCTCTTTGATGAGATGCCTGTTCAAATATTTTCCAAATTTCAATGTCTTTGTTAATGCTTAATTTCTATTTTGTATTTTGTGAATATAAGCATGCTTATATACAAGATTTATATATTCTCCTTATAAGTTCTTGGTTTGGTTTGTGTGTGTGTGTGTGTGTGTGTGTGTGTGTGTGTGTCTTGGGCTTGCCTGGTAATTCTTTTAATTGCATTGCTTAATAAATTCTAGTTTGTCTAAGTCCTTTCAGGATAAAATAATATTGTTACTTTCCTCACTAACAGCTAAAAACTTTAGAATGCTTTCACATCGATCACCTTCAAGGGCTACTCACATTCAATATCTGGGGAGACGGAAATATGAGACTTCAGGAGTGACTTTAGGGATGAATATGGAAAGGAGAGTAGGACACAGTCAGGTAAGGGAGTGTGTATAAAAGTACTCCAGGTGGAGGAAAGAGATGAAGCAAAATTTTATGTGGCACAAGTAAAGCCCCTGAGGCTGGGACAGATTTTAAGGGACCTTGACTCCATCTTATGACCACTGGAAGTTATCCTTCCCATTATGGCTGTAGCATATCACATCAGTGGCTTTCCATGGATTAATGGGCTATGATAGACATGTTTTCCTCATATACCCAATATCTACTTTTCTGTCTTAATAACAGCTATCTTGTTTTCCTTTGGAATCCTTCAATGTGATGGCATGTTGTTTTGGTAGGAATGACTCTATCCACCCCCAGCTTAATGGGGATGTGACCCATTCAGGGCCAATCAGAGAATTGAAGCCTTTTACTCAGTGATGGCATTTGACTCAATCAAAGTCAATAAGAGTCATGTCTCGGTCTTACAACATCTGGGATGATAAAAACTTCTAGATCTGCTCTGGGACTTATCAGAGCATACGTTGTAACCTATCTGCTGGTTGCCAACTTGCTTCCACAAAGGTTGATTCTGCCTGAGGGAAAATCGGGTTGCCTCAGAGGGCAGTGAAGCCAGGAGGACAACTCAGGATACCAAATCCTTGGGATTCTATTTGTGTCCCTGGAGTCAACCACATCTAGATTTTCTACCAAGTAAACCACCTTTAATAGTACAGTTTAACAAAGTATGATTTAATTACTGTTGTTTACAATCAAGAGTTTTGACTAACAGAAAGGAAAAAAATGCAACTGAAATAGTCACCTGATGATACCGCATTACATCATCGTTTGCTGATGGTGTGAACAGGAGTCAGCAGGTATACAAGAAGATAAAAGCCTATCACATAACATACTGTTGGGTCTGGTCTTCATAAAACTCCTGTGAGCTCCATATTCCAGTTCCTTTTATAAATGAAAAAAGTTGCACTACAGGAATACAAAGTCACCACACAACTATTATGTATGAGTGTAGAGACTTGAATTCAAGCCCTCTGCTTCTAAATCTTGTACTCTTTCCATTACAGTGGGTACCTAACTCTTCAGGGCACTTGGTACATAAAAAGTACCCTATATATTTGTAAAATAAATTATGATCTCAGCTACACCCCCCTTCCAAATGATTTGGCAGTGAAGAGGATACAGAAAAAAATGCAGCTTACCCTTATCTTGGGGGTGCCTGGCCGGTTTCACATCTTCAGAGAAGGCCTTGGTCTGGGTGATGTCAGTCACAGCTTCCTGGTTCCTAGATGGTGTGCTCCTTCTATCTTTGTGGACTCTAGTCATCTGGATTTTTCCTGGTGCCCTTTCCCAGGTGCTTACCTGTACAAACGCAACAGAACAAGCACTCCTGGGGCTGGTGACCTAGTCAGGTCCTTACTTACACATTCTGTTCTTCTCTTGTGTGTTCCTTATGGATAGCCATTATTCTTTATAACGGATGTTGAGTGCTTTTACGAAACCCTACATCTTACCAGACTAGGTACCATGCCCTTCAGTGAACTCGGCACAGATTCAGGTCCAGGGGAGGCAGTCAGGATTTAGTGGCATATCAACTGCAAGGCAGACTCTTTATTCTATCTCAATTATCATGGTGTCCCATTGGAAAAGCATCAGTAGTCCTCTTGATAAAAAGTCTATTCAGGGCGTATAGTTGAATACTATATGACAAAAATCACAGTATGAGGCAAGTAAAATCTCCCTTTGAGTTGTTGATTAGGGTAGTCCAAGAGACTCCCAAAAGAATATAGACTTGCCACAGTGTGTGATTGCCTCCCAGAACTTGAAGGTAAGACCCTATTGCTGAAGACATGACATACTTTGGATACAAGACTTGGAGCAATGGAGCTGGAGCTGACCTGGAAGCCCCTCCCCGAAGAACAGTTTTTATGGTATCAGAAAGTGCTATGCATGATGTGAAGGGAGAAAATCAGTCAGTGGCCCTACACAGCTGTAAAGCCTGTGAACCACAATGATGGCCAGCCCAGCAAATTATCTCGATTGGTGTAATAGTGGCACTTTTATCTTAGAATAATTAACAGCTATCTATTGGGACTTAAGGCTTGCTCAGTGGCACAGAATTCATGCATGATACTGTAAACATAGCCAAGTACATATGGTTGGAGAAGTCATAGGCCCCAGAGAAGAACCTACTTCTGGCACTTTCTTAGACCAAGATAATTTCTTATGATATTAGATAGATGATAGATAGATAGATAGATAGATAGATAGATAGAAATAAGTAGTAACGGCCAGAAAACTCATTCAAGGAAAGAAGGTTATTGATCTTCATTTTCAAAGCTGCTCAGAGGGAGAAATTACAGGCTGTGTTAGATAGGCTTCTCCAGAACCGTAGATAGATAGATGATAGATAGATAGATAGACAGATAGATAGACAGATAGACAGATAGATAGACAGATAGACAGACAGACAGAATTTCCTTTATATCCACAGAAAAGTGTACTTTCAGCACTCACCAAAAAAGTTTCTTTTTGCAACAGATGGAGGCTATTACAAAGTTCCACAGCTCGTCAAAATACATAGAATAATTAACTCTGAAGTGCCCCCTCGCTAAATGATACAATGCAACCTCTGTAACTAAGGCTCAGGGAACATCATAGCCTAGGGGCAGAAAGATTGTAAAAGCCAGAAGGACAAGACACCTGCTTCTACTTAAGGCATTTCAGACGTGATAGGGAGGCCACACCAAGGAAACCTCCACAGTGTGGGAGTCTAACAAGATCTGCACAATGGGGGTGGAGAGATGGCTCTGAGGTTAAGAACACTGTTGTTGAAGAAGACCTGGGTTTGAATCCTAGCACCCACATGGCAGCTAACAGTCCATAACTCCAGTCCCAGGGGATCCAACAGTCTCTTCTATCCTCCACAGGCATCGCAGGACACAGGTGCACTTACTTACATGCAGGCAATACATGCATACACATAGAATAAAATTTTGAAAAAAGATCTGCATAATGACAAAGCCAGTTGGCATGCCAAGGTGAATGGGGGAAATTCATAGGGTCCAACCAGAAGAGGAAGGGATATAGGCAATTGACAGATGCTGAGGGAGGAAGAATCACTTTTCTCCAGAGACTAGCTCCCTGAGAGGTAATCCCAAGTAGGCAGCCCTAAACACAGGTACACACAAGCTCCACTAAAGGGACTCAGTGCATTATATATATTATATATAATATGTAACAATAATAATCAAAGAAGAGGACAAGAGATTGTAGGGGAGTAGGGGGGACCTGGGAGGAGTTGAAGGGGGACTGGGTGAGAGGGGTGGAAATAATGCAAATGCAGTATTCATGTATGAAACTCTCAGAAAGCAAGGTTTTTTTTAAAAGAAAAAAATAGGAAAAAGATTCCTAGGGATAAGTGTTTAAGGTGTATAATCTAACAATTAAGGAACATCTTTGGATGGTAGAAAAAAGTCTATGCAGGTCAAATAACTGGCCACTGGTCTCACCATTAGCATCTACTGAGGGAGAACTTAGTCCCAGAACCCTGTGCTCGTCACCTCCAAGTGAGCCGGGATTCATTCTTCTTTCCTCCTGTTTACTTGACACCCACTATTCTTGTGTCCCTTCAGACTTCTTCATTTTCAACTTTTAGTACTTGTCAAACCTTTCCTGAGGTTAGACGACATGGAAAGCTCTGGACACGAGTAAGGCAATGGACAGAGTGTGTGCCCTACACATTTGTCATGGTGCCTACTCACAATGACTTAGTGTGTAACATGGTGTTATTTATATAAATATTGTTCATGGCCGCAGAAACAGAGGATAGGGAGATTTATTATTTTCACTGGGAGATTGGGCGGGAAAGACTTCCAAAAGCAGGATTGATCAAACTCCAATTTTTAAAATGAAGGTGGAAGACTGATGGAAGGGGAAACAAGACTAGCTGGAAGATAAATCAGCAGACGCAAAGCCTGGGCTATTTGGAGAGGTGGTAGTGTGGAGGTCTGAATGAGAATGTCCCCCAGAGGCTCAAGTATTTGAATACTTTGTACTCGGTTGGTGGCGCTGTTTCAGGAGGTTTTAGGAGGCCTGGCCTTGCTGGAAGAAGCATATCACTGGGGACAGGCTTTGAGAGTTCTTAAGACCTCCCAGATTTCCTGTCCCCATTTGCTCCTGTGCCTACTTAAAGATGTGATTGCTTGGCTTTCTGCTCCAGCCACCTCTGCCGCCATGCCTCCCCCGCCATTATGGACTCTAACCCTCTGAAGCATAAACTCAGACTCCTCCTTCTGTAAGTTGCTTTGCTTGTCATGTCTTATCACAGCAATAGAAAAGTAACTAATAGTGTCTGAACAGTATGGAAGTGAGTAGTGTAGAAGCTGTGAGAAGAGACGAGATGAAGGGAAAAATTTGGGGGCGGGGTAGGAGGAGGAAGCCTGGAGGCAAGATTGAAAAGACAAGACGGAACAGGGCTGAATTATGAATAGTCGTACATGCAAAACAAGGGGTCTGGGTTTTATGTCTTAATTATGTAAAGACAGGCTGTGGATAAAATCAATCAGATTTATATATGAGAAAAATCACGTCTGAACTATGTCAGGAGCCTAGGACACTGATACCTTGAGGAGACGGTTGGGATATAGATCCTTTTCTGGCTTTTGAGGCTCCAGCTCACGTGACTCTTCTTTCGTGTTTTTCTCTTCATCTTTATGTCTAGGGCTGAAACACGAAGAGATGCCAATAAAAAAAAAGTGAGGCTTTGAGTGTAGATAAAATACATTGCTCAATCCCAATGAAATTATTGATAAAAGCAAATCTATACATGGTTTTTTTTTTTTTTTTTTTTTTTTTTGAGATAAGGCACTAGGATTAGATCAATCTGTGATGGCTTTCATGATCCTCTGCCTGCTCCGGTGTATGAATTCTTGTTTAAATCTTTGAACTCCCCATTGCCTACAGATGAAATCTAAGTTCTTCTGTGGTTTACCTCTTCTTGCCAATCCCATCTCCCTATAAATCTGAACTCTCATAACTGTTCCAACCCACTGGTTTCTTTGAGCACCTCTCCTTTTTATTAGCCACTTATTTTTTCAGGCATGTCATCTGCATCTTAAATTGCTGACAAATACAAGACCCTTTCTAATTTATCTAAATCACCCTTCCCTGATTCTCAAGAAGTCATTCTGTCTGTCTCTAGCACTTTGTTCTTCTGAGTTGATTATCACCTGCCTGTCCATGAATCTATATTCAATTCTTCCCCTTTGCTTAGTCAACTAGAGTTTGCTGAATGAGTACTGTATAGGCGAGGAGGAGGCGAGCAAGGAAGGTCACTGAGAACTGCTCCAACCCCAGACATCTTACACGGTTCTAGGGAAACAGAACCTGTTCATGAACAGGCAAAATGGCCAGCCGTCATTTTCATGAGTTTACCCAAAGCAGGCCTTGCTGTTCAGTTATAAATCATTAGGCGATCAAATGGGAGGTGATTCTCAGGACACAGCAGAAGCAGATGGTGGCTACAGGAAGTTCCATGAACTGCTGCTTGTGGGGCCAAAGCTCAGTCAGAAAAACCCACCAGCATTTCCAAAGTTATGGTATACATTCAAGGACATACATAATCTAACACAGACACGTTCTCTACATACCTTTCCAGGAACACATGTGAAGAACTGAATCACGTGAGGACACAGCACCTGTGGTTATCTGAGCAGTTCCGGTGGGCAGAACTGATGTAGGTAAGTGTGTAAGTAATGCTGGGACTGCTCCCAGATGATGGCATACTCTGATCAAACTCAGCTCTTGTGTACCAGAGATTAGTCTCATTAAGATTATGTCCCAGTGATCACAACATAACATTCTTCCCCCTGTTTAATCTCTAGTCTCATATCTGATGTCATTATTTGCTTGGAAGAT